AGGATCCCCAAACGGGCCTCCGGAGAATCCCGGGAGCGCCTTTCCGCAGCCCGCACACTGCTAAGACACCGCAGTGTTCGCAGTCCGGCCCGACCCGGGGACGAGCGCGGAGCCGGAGCCCCGAGGCTGGAGACTGTGCTTGCGCTCTCCGCGGGAGGCGCCAGGGGCTGCTCCTGGAGACCTGTCTGCGTCTCTGCTGGAGATACTGTGTCTCCCTAGCCCCGCCCGGCCTCAGGCCCCAGGGCGGAATGTAACATCTTGTAATGTGACAATCACTGACAAACCTGTACCCGAGAGGGGAAATTCCGCCTAGGGTGCCTAGGAGGGACGCGGGGCCTCAGCATCCGGCAGCGCCGGGGGTTCGGGGAAGGGGCGGGGCAGCGGGTGAAGCTTGCAGGTCAGAGCCCAGGTCGGGAGGAGGGTCTGAGTGGGGGAGGCTCTCCTGGGGCCCGTTTGGGCTACACGACCGTGCCAGAGCCCAGTCTGACAGAGCCAGGGGCGCACCCCACCCACCCGCTTCCCGCACCTGGGACCCCAAAGTCCAATGCAAAGGGACCTGTACAAGGACCAGAAAATTTGTAGCTTAATTCTCAAAGAGGTCTCTGACCCCACAACAGGTTTAAAGCGCTGGCGGTCGCTGTTTCTTGGCGGGAAAGGAGCTGGCTTGTGACTTGGGAGCAAGTGCTTGGGACCCGGTGGAGGTGGAATGAGGCGGGAGGCGGTGTTGGGGTGCGGGAGCTGTTCTCGCGTTTTACAGTCAGTGTGGAAGACTTTCCTTGAAAGGCAAAGGGGTCCTTCTCCTCATCGACATCATTCTCCTTCGCGGGGGGTTCTAACGGTGCAGGGGGCATTTTAGCACTTCCACACTCTTTACCCCTCTTCGCCCCTCTCTCCCTTTCTACTACCAAATTGTTTGTAAACAAAGCTGCAGCTTTCTCGCGCTCTCTCTGCCCGCAGCAAACCTGATACTTCTCCCAAACTCGCCCCACCACGCTCGGAAATCCTCACACAGGACGGATATTCACAATTTTCACAAGTAATCCTGAAAGCAGGCTGAGGGGAAGCTCCCTAAACGGTCCCACATTGCAGCCGCGCTGATTAGGCCGGGGATTCTTTCCCTTTTTTCTCTGCCCTCCCCTTCCCGCGAGCGGCAGGGCGGGCGGCTGGAATTCTGGGGGTGGCCGGCGGCGGGCGGGGATGGGAGGAAAGGGGAGGCCGGCGCGCCCCGGCTGCCAGCCTCCGCAAATGGAAATTGGTGCCAGCGCCCGTTAGGAGTTCGGAGCAAACCTGCCAAGAGGTGGAGCGCAGAGGGTCGGGCACCCCTCACTCTTCGGCTTCCCTCCCCCGGCTTCCCAGCGCTTGTCATATCCTGTCTCTGGCCTGATATTTCACGCGAGCAAACGGGAGGGAATTGCAATGAAGATTTACGTGTGCTCTGAGTGTGACTGGTTTCCCAGTGCTTCCCGTTTCCATTTTTCACTCGCGCTTTGGGGAGCGCAGTAGGGCGCGGGGGGAGCTAGTCTGCGCGGCGGCGGGCTGATCACAGGGCTCGGTGTCTCCCAGCGGGCCAGGAGACTGTGAGAAAGGCTTGCCAGAGCTTTGCCCCCGAGGGCTGGAGCCGGCCCCCGCCTACCCTAGCCCAGCTTTGTTTCTCCCCTCTCTCACCCCTCCCTCTCGCGCTCCCTCACTTCTATCCGGCGCATCCTAGCTTTCCCTCCTCTCGCCCCTCTCCAGTTCTTCGGAAACGCCCCCTTCCTCTGGCCCCTGCACCCTTCTGCCCTCTACTTCGCGGGTTTCCCGGGGACCGGCGCGCCGTGGCCCGGCCCGACCCCGCCGCCGCCGGGTGCCAGGTTAGGTGACTCCGGCGAGTCTGTGGGGCCTCAGCCCACCCCGGAGCCGGGGCCGCCAGCCCTCTCGGCTCCCAGGCTCGCTCATGCCAAGGCCTGTTGCGTGATTCCAACTTGGGCTGACATTCCCTGCCCCGGGCGCTCCGGCGTAGGCCTCTTAATCATCTTGTCTGCTGCAGATCCTCGACACCAGCCAATTTACTGCCCCGTCTCTCCTTGCTGGTTTCAGGAGGGGGAGGGGAGAGCTCACAAAGGAGGGGAGCGCACAGTAAACCGCAGGGGGAAGGCTGGCACCAGCTATTGGCACTCAAAGAAAACCACGGAATTTGGAGTTCGGGGGAGGGAGAACAGGAATGGAGGTCTGCTGGGCAGCGGCTGCTTAGGGAAGCCAGAATCGAGAGGTCAATGGGATTCAGCCCAGGCCACCCTATCCTGGGAAACCACCCAGGAATGCAGACGGACACAGAGTTGTGTAACCTCCCTGCCTTCTGCAGAGCTCCAACTCTCCGGACCATACTCTGTGGTAAATCACACTCGGTGCAGTCCCCAAAACAATCTGGCCAGGAAAGTTGGGGTTCCTCTCAGGATAATGCCACTGAGCTGAGGAAGTCCCTCCTGTCTGATGTCTGTTTTCGTGGCAGAGGTGAGTTGAAGAGATGCAACAAGTATGGCCTGATGAGCATCCTGGAGAAGAGGAGGTCTGGCTCTGGCAAGCAGGGTTTTCTGGCTTGCCCCCAACCTCCTCTGCAGCAGAGCCCCCTCCCTTCAGAGGGGTTGCCCGAGGCTCAGGCTTCCATGTTGGAAAGGCACAGCGTCTCCCAGGGCTGGAGAGCTGCTCTTCCACACAAGGTGAGGTTAGAAAGGCTTCTGGCTAACTGTGAGCCTCATGATTGTAGGCAAAATAAAGCCTCCTTGTTTGGGGGCACCGGGCTCGAACAATATACTACACAGCGAAAATGTACTGAGTGCTTACTCTGCACCAGGCACTATAGTACATCATTGCCCAGTTACATGCTTATAACTCTGAGATAGCTCTTTTTATGTTTCCTGTCTTATGGGTCCTCACACTGCAACACAGAGAGGTGAAATGGGTAGCCCAACGTCACACAGTGAATTATTGAAGCCTGAGAGCTGCTACCAACTGTGGGCCCCAGTGCTTTCAAGAAAAGAACTTTAAGTTCAGGTGGGCATTACTCACTTACCCCTGGCCTTTGCAGGGAATGTGATAAAGCAGGGTCATTTCCAAAATTGGAAGCTAGTTGGGTGAGACCCAAGGTGGTAAATTGAGCTGAATGATGTCTGGGTCGCTCCTCCCCACCCCCGGAGTGTGAGGTGGAAAGGTGCCATTTGCACAGTAGTGTGCATCAGTCTCCATGTGAGTGTGCCCGTGTGTGAGTGTGCAGATGTGGGTCTGTGTATCAGTGTGTGAATTTGTGTCATGTATGTGTGAGTGTGTCATTCAGTGTGAGTGTGTGACTGTGTTTCTGAGAGTGTAATAGTACAGATGTGGCTGCAGTAGTCATGGTGTGTGACTGTATGTGTACTAGCGAAGCCCTGTGCGCCGAGGTCGCCCTGCATTCCTGAGCAGAACCCGGGTCTCTTGAGGGCCTGGGTGACTCAGTGAGTTCTCGGCTCAGCCATCCCCAGAAAGGCCGCGGGGCGACGGAGGGGAGAGTCCAATGTAGGGGTCTGACCCGGGCTGCGGCAGCGTTCAGGCCCTGGCTGCGGTTTCCCTTCGCGGCTGGGAAGCACTGTCCCGCCAGCAACGCGGGCGCGGAGGCGGCAGAGACCGCCCAGGCGCCGGTGGGGCACGGTGGGCGGAGGCTGGAGCCGACAGGCGCTGAGTGACTCACCGCACGAGCTGGGGAGCCCCGCGTCAGGACGCGGGTGGGGGGTGCAGCGCGCACATTCTGCGGGGCCCGAGCCCAGTGAGCCTGTCTCTTCACCTCAGCGCACTTCGCGGCGCTCGCAGCCTTCTGAAGACGTGAATGTCGCTCTTGGCTGACCCGCTTCGCAGCCTGCACAGCGGCTCGAGCTTCCAGGTGTTGACACCGAGGTAAAAACGCACACGTCCCATGAAAACAATAATTTATTTAAATAATCTCTTCATATTGTAAAATCAACATTAAGAGCATGTTGTTTTCATAATAAATAACCCCAAAATACCTTTCATTTCAAGAACAAAGACTTTAGGATAAGATATAACAAACCCAAATCAGTAGCTTAGTTTAACAGAAAATTTTCTGAACCGGAGGGGCTTCTGAGGTCACTGCTAATCCGCAGTTTTCACAAGTGGGGGCTTACAAAAATGTCTGAAAAGATGAATGTTTTTATACAAATAAATCAGTGGGAAAATCTGCACAGACACCTTTATTTACAAATTCCATGTCGAAGTCCAGGCTAATAATCCTGAATAGGTTTTTAAAAAAGATAATTTAAACACATTTTTTTGCAGTGTCCACATATTAAAAAAATCATTTTTCCCCAACATCAAAATGAGGTCATCCGCAAAGGCACCTAAACTTTTAAAAAATAAAAAAATAAAAACAAAACTCCACTGGTCATGAATGAGGAGAGAGCTAAGGGGCAGAGTTCCTGGCTGGGAGAGAGCTAAGGCGGGAGAAGGATGGGGCTCCAAGGGCTGGAAACCGCAGAGAGGGAAAAGGCGGCGGCGGGCCGCCGGGTCACCGAGGGGAGTGGGGGAGGGCGGGCCGCCAGGCGGGACCCAGGAGGTCACTAACCCGGCGGATCGCGCCGAGCCTGGGGGCTGGCGAGGAGAAAGGAGCTTCAGAGCGCCTGGGAAGCCTCGCGGGCGGGGGAGGAGTCCCTTTCCTGGACTCAGCTCGTGGCCCGAGGCGACAAAGGCGCCGGACGGCCTCGCCGGGGAGGGAGGCGAGGGGAGGCAAGTCTGAGGCGGGGCTCAGGTCGCGAGGGCGGCCGTGGCCCGCGGCAGCAGCCGGGGGGCCTCCGAGAGGAGCCTGCACATTCCCAGATGCTCAGTGGCCACGCGAGGGAGCAGGGCTGGGGGCAGGCCGTCCCGGGCCATAACCTCCCGTAGGGGTGGCATCGGGGGGCCAGCTGGAGAGACCTTCCAGCTTGGGTGCGAGCACTATCGGGTCTCTGCTCTCAGTCTTTGGCGCAGTCTCCCTGGGGTTAGAAAATCGTGCCGGCGCTCACTGGGGCGCCCCCGCCACTGTGGTGGTGGTGGTGGTGGTGGTGGTGTGGCTGCGGAGTCTGCGCCGGGTGCAGCAGCGGCGCGGCGGCCTGCAGGTGTGAGGCGGAGCCGGAGGTCTGGTGGTACCACGGGTAGTTGCCCAGGAAGGCCGAGGCCGCGCTGCTCGGGCTAGAGCCGGAGCTGCCCGCGCCACTGCCTCCGCTGCCCGGACCGCCGCCGCCTCCCATCCGTTGAGGCGCGCCGAAGTCCCAGGAGGCCGGCGCGGAGACCGGCGGCGAAGCGCAGGGTGGCGAGGAGCTAGCCCCAGGGTGCTGCTCCGTGGGGATCTCACCACTTTTCCACATCTTCTTGAACTTGGATCGGCGGTTCTGGAACCAGATTTTGACCTTTGTGGAGAAGGGACGCGAGCATTAGTGGAGGAAACTCAGCACGGAGCAAGGAAGGGGAGAAAGCTTAGGAAGACCGACAGCAAGAGGAGGGCATCGAGTACTCTGGGCACACTGGCGGGTCGCGTGCCGCGGCGTGGGGGGCCGCGATGATTTCTACTCCGTTGGGTGGTCATCTCAAAAAGCCTAAGACCGCTGGTGTGCGCGCCCCTTGGTGATGTTGACACAGGGAGGATGTCGGGGTGCCAATTATTTTACCCGCTTAATGAGTAGCGCAGAGAAAAGACGACGTGGTGCCGGATTGTGCCCACCCTGTCCTTACCCTGGGGGATTTCAGTTTCAAGTGTAGAAGTTTACACCGCCCAAGGCGCGGGCCTCGAAATCCTTAAGATTATTTTTTAAAAAGATATACTTAAAACATTGTCCTGAACCCTCCTGCTTTTCAGCCATTCCAGACCAGCTCGCTCCTCATCCTTCCTCCCCCACTCCCAGCCCGCCCGCAGCCGCTAACCCTCACCTGAGTCTGGGTGAGGCCCAGGGACGCGGCCAGCTCGGCTCGCTCAGGCAGTGCCAGGTATTGGGTCTTTTGGAAACGCCGCTGAAGAGCCGCCAGCTGGAAACTGGAGTAGATGGTGCGGGGTTTCCGGACTTTCTTTGGCTTCCCGTTCACTATCCGAATTTCAGGCTCGAGGTCCTCTTTCTCTGCAACGAATCGGAATCGTGAGAACTGCGCAATCTGGCAACTCAAGAGTTCCCGCGCGTGGAGAGGCCCCCGGCGTGGGACTTGGCCGGAGGCGGGAGACGGATTCTCAGGCGCCACTTCGCAAAGCGCGGAACGGTGCCGGCACCGACCCCGACCCCGGAAGCTGGGCCCTCCAGCAAAGAGGGAGACAGGCGCGTACTGGAGAGAAAGGAGAAGCCGGCGGCTAGGGAAGGAGGTTGCCACGAGGTATGCACCGCGCGGCCCTCAAGGCCACCCGGCCCGACAAGTTGAGCGCTCAGGGACGTACCCAGTGACCCTCGGCAGATTGGAGGTTAAGAATGGCGAGGGCGCCGGAGCAGGCCGGGCCGGGAGCAGGTAGGGTGAAAGCCCAGGACTCCGGAGGGATCCCCGCCCCAAACGTTTTTATCCCACCCATCTAGCAGCTGGACCGACTTGGCACCCTTGACACCTGCGTTTTGCTTACCAGGTTCGTTGTTGGCCGGGGACGAACTGGTCCCATAGGGTGCGTAGGAGGTGTAGGCGGCGGTGTATCCCAGGTCGTAGCCACCCTTGGCGGAATAAGGGACATTGTTGAGGCCGCTGGCGTGGTATTGGTAGGAACCCATGTGTGCGTAGGGCGAGCCCCCGCCGCCGCCTCCGCCCGCCGGGTGCTGCTGGTTGGTGTAGTAGCTGCTGTCGGTAGCTGTGGACACCGGGAGGGTCGGCGACTCCTGAGGCTTGTGGAGGCTGCTGACGTTGCTGCTGCCCGGGCCAGCGCCACCACCGCTTGGGGGCTGCTGGTGCTGGTGGTACGTGCTGGAGGCCGTAATCTGGGTCGAGTGCATATCAGCCACCAGACTGTCAAAGACTCCAGTCATCCTGGCCCGGGACGGGAAAGAGCAGGGGTGGCGGGCTCGACGGGGGGAAGCGAGGCGCCTCCTCCGTCTCTCCTGTCCCCTCCAGCAGCCAATGTAATTACGGGGGGAGGGGGTGTGGGGTGGGGAGGAAAACAAAAAAATGTGGCAATGGTACAGGCAACTCCTCCTCCGGGAGAGGCAATCACCGTGCACAGCTCCGGACAGTTGCCGCCGGCCGCATCCTCTCTCCGCCTCTCGGCCTGCTCGGCTTCTTGCCCAACGCCGGCTCTGACGGGGGGCGGCAGCGGAGGGGGGGCAGGGGTGGCGGGGCCGGGCTGAGGATCCGGGAGGCGGGAGGAGCTGAGCGGTTAGCAGCAGCTTTAGGATTGTCTGCAGGGCGGGCTCCTGCAGGGTGGGCATTTAACACTCGTCACGTGAGCGCAGGCGACGTCACCTAGCAACAGCCAATCAGAAGCGCGGGCCCGCGAGGTTACAGGCACACTGGAACGCTAGGCGGGCGGGTGTCGCGGGGCCGGCGCTGCGGCTGCTGTGGTCGCGGGTGCAGACAGGCCGCTGCTGAGTGTGAGCAGCGAGGGACTGGAGGTCGGGTGGGGAGTTAGGGTGGCCTATGGCTGGCGGACAGAAGGCAAGAAGACGGACACTGGCATTTCCCATTCAGTGTACAAGTGCCAACCAATCCCAGTGATTCTTATCAGCCAGCCTGAGGTCAGCTTTCAAACATCAATCAAAATAAAGCAGTCCCGAGAGCCGGGCCAATTCTAGCTACGTTTTTCCTCAAAGTGTCTGGCATTTACTCTTCTTGCTAGCCACTCGGCACTTGACATAGTCAATTGATGTAAATTATTCTTAAACCACGTACTGTATATTAATATCTGCTCCCTAGCTAACCCGCAGGGATATCAGGACAAGTAATTAGATAATATTTAAATGATTTTCCTTGTTGCTTTAGAGAAAAGCTGTATAAATTCAAAGGTATTGTTACTAACGATATACTATTTGACATCACTTTTCCTTGTACTTTCCTGACACGTGGAGATTGTGTGTTCGATGGCCAACTGACAGCAGGAAAGCTATGCCGGGGATTTTCTCTCTAGATTCGAAAACTACCAGACTGACCAGATGGTCTTCCAAGTTCATTTTAACTCTAAATTCTGTGTTTTTACAAAACAGGAAGTGGAATAATGCTTAAGAGGGAGAGTCGTCTCCTACTCCAAGTTTTGGTAAACTTACAGCAACAAATAGAAAAGTTTTATCTCATGCGTTTAACCCTATTTTAAAGTTTTTCACGTTAGGACGCTGTTCCTCCCTACCTTTGCAATTTCTTCGTTTAAATCGGAAGTAGAGGCTTCCTTTATGCCTCTATTTCCTGGTGGTTGGAAGCTGTTGTTTGGAGTTGGAGGACGCTGGCCTTTACTGGACTCCCAAATCCGCAGTTCCTGCGGCAGTACCTACCTTGTAGCGACACCTGCTGGAGGTGTGCATGGTTGCGGGCGGGCCCAGTAGACAGTCTAATCACGCTGAGGCGCCAGCTTCTGAAACCCCCCAAAAGAACAAAATAGTAATTAAAAGCCACAAAATTGTGGTAGTGCGCGCCATCTGAAGCGCCCCCTTCCTAAAGACATAACGTGTAGCTGGAAGAACTTGTTACAACAACTGCCTAATGGAAAACAAGTTGATACTTTGAAAAATATGATCTTTGGTTTTCTTCCCCAGAAAAAGCAAGTGTGTAATTAAAGCTACAGCATCCACACAGCTCAGCCTCTGTGGAATAATGAGGAAGGTAATCCGCCTTCAAATCTGCCTGGATTTAGTTCCCAGTCTTCCTTCTGGTTAATGGAGAAGAGCAAGATGTTTAGAAACGCTTTGGGAGGTGGGGCTCACCACCAGGGGACCACACTGTGGCATCTCTGCACTCTGCCTGCTGCTTGGGGGGCCCCAATTACAAAATTAAGCTAGAGATAATTTAATCAAGATTGCTTGCTTATGTCTTGACTCCAAATTCCAAGTCACCACAATGGTAGCTGTTTTGACCTACTATAGAAACCTTTCCCCCCTGAAAATGAAATATAAAAGATTCCATTGCGACCCTCCGGTTCCCTTTCCCATCATATCTGAACACGGGCCTTGGTGGTCATAAAAGGAGGGAAAGTAATACTGACGCTGGCCTCACAGCTCTTTAGCATGTGGACTAGTTTGAAACAAGGTAAAAAAAAAAAAGATTCCATTGCAATCCTTTTGCCTTCTCTGAGTTCCTTTGCTCCCACCCCAAGCATGTCCTCCAGACTTTTTCATAGTGGTAAACGTGTTGTATTTTCTTTTCTCTGAGAACTTCCATTGATAGCCTTAAATCCTGGTCAGCTGAGATCTAGAAAACGGCATCTTCCTGGAAGGAAATGTAACTCCAGTTCTCTCTTAACTGGAAAACAAGGGCTGTGTGTGGATGTAGGAGAAAAGGAGAGATAGAAAAAGAGAGGCAGAAGTTGCAGCTGCATTTGTGGAATCAAGACTTGAGACAGTAATTCTGATGATCCAGTACAAATTTGGGTTTGCCCAAATCTGATTGCTGCATCACAATATCCAAATGATTTCCTCACTTTGGTCTAAGGTCGGGGGAGCAGTCCCATAGAAAACTGATATTCTCATCCACAGTTCAGAGGAGACTGATGGCCCTCTCTACAGTGCTGTGAGAAGAGTTGAGAGGGAACTCAGAGTGCATTTGGGTGAACCGAGGTGCCTCCTTTCTCCCAAACTTCCTCCTGTGCCTCAGGGCAGCATCTTTCCTCTTTTCTGCTTTAGGCTGTTTCTTCCAGCCCAGGCATTCTTCTACTCCACAGGGACCTAGGGAGGATGGGGGAAGGAGCGGAACTCACTGTCTCTGCTCTTGCCTTGTTATGTTTCAGTCCCATCGCTGAGATACTCCTGCTTTGGATCCCGTGTCCACCAGTTTGTGTCCACAGCACTTTTATCTGGTCATTGAGTCTCACTGTCTCCTTACAAGGGAACCTAAGGCAACCCTTATCAGGTAAGGACAGAACAGTGTGTGTGTTTGGGGGCGGGGGGAGGGGGGATCATCATTCCCATTGGACCGAGGAACACTGAAGCTGGAGGGCAGGCACAACTTTCTTTGAGTTAGGTAACCCTTCTTTCTCTGTTGCCATAGTGCAAGCCACAGGTTATTTACTGTGAGCCATGTTTGAAGAGCTCCTGGTTTGTAGACCACAAGTGGCCCTGGAGAACAGGTCACTGCTTTCAGCTCCCTGCCCCATCACTGGCTTTGGGTTAGGATTTCAGGACTCAGGCAGTGCACTGTCTCTGCTCGGTCGTTGGGTGTCCTTGGTTACACAGAAAGCCGACCTGAAGGGTGAGGAAGAGGAGAAGTTGCCCCCCACCCTACCCTCAGGGGCTGGCAGGGAGCTGTGGGGGGCCCACCGGGGTGCCCTTCATGTGCAGAATGACAGGCCCATTCTCACTGGCCTACGCCACTGTGTCCAGCGGGTTGCTGGACGGCCCTGTGTCCCCACTCTGCACTGTCATATGGAGGGTCCCAGAACACTGGGTTGTGGGGCCATGGGTCTGAGAGGCACTCTTTCATGCCCCAAAAGAGTAGCTGTAGGAACCTGCACCATTAGAATCTCTTTGGGATTCATTCTAGAACTCAAAGACATTGGGAGAGGGTGGGAGTTTGGTTTGCAGGAGCTTCCCATTTCCACCTTTCCAGGACCAGACCAGTGTGCTGTCATCCCTTCTTCAATGGCCTTTGCATCTTCTTGGAGCCAACTCTAGCCCAGGCCTTTCTCATTGCGAGTGTCCTCAATCTGGTTTTCTCTGCTTGCCAGGAGAGTGGCCTCCAGGGACTCAGGGTGTGGTCAGCTCCTTCCAGCCCCTTTGATCCTTTAGGCAGACAAGATGAGATCCCTGACTTCGTGGTCTGCAACCTTGGGTTCCACCTTTTATCTTGCATAGATTCGATGAGAGGACATGAAGGAAACACACCTGTGGGGGAGGGCTTGCGGAAACTCTGCAGGAACCCTCCAGGTGGACCCACAGTTTTGTGACAGCAGGCACCCGGTGCAGACTGGATGGCCCTCAAGCCCTCCGCCTTCTGCTGCACTGGTGCGTCCCCCAGCGGCACCCTCAGGGCTCCTTTTCCTTCAGCACGGATGCTGTCTTGGATTTCCCCATTTTTTTTCCGTCCCTATGTATCTCCCTCTCCATCATCTCTCCCATGAACTTGAAGGTCTCAGTCAGCCACTTCCCTCCCACCTGCCAAGCCTGGCACAGTGCCAGGTGCTGGGGAATCCTGTCCTCCAGTAGCTCACAGTGAAGCGGAAAAAGAAGATATATTGCCATAACTAATGGCTAGCATTTATTTCTTGGGAGTTTACTGAGCACGAGGAGTTCTGTCAAGCCCTTCCTTTACTTTTGTTACCTCACTGACCCCCGGGAACGGTCTTATGTGGTGGGTAAAAAATTATCCACATTGTGGAAACCAAGGCTTAGAGAGACGGAATCATTTCTTTAAGAACACCGAGCACAGTCAGGACTGGAACTTGGATCTGGCCACTGCGGATCCGGCTGGGTTTCTGGCCTGGGGATCGCAGGAGAAGATCGCGCCGCACCCACCCACCTCTCCCGGGTTGCGATAGCAAGGGGGCGAATGTAAAGGGACATTGATAGCCCTGCAGTGAGCGTTCCCCTCTGGCCCCAAAAGCCGACGGGAAGGAGAGACTTCTCTGGGCAACTAGCCGACGCTCGGGCCAAGCGCGCAGCAAGGAAACTCAGACCGACCCCAGGAAGATCCCGGAACGGACTCGAGGGTCAGCCGGGAGACGGGCGCCCCCTGGGCCCTCAGGCGAACCTGAGTTCGAGGCCGGTGTTTTGTCCCTGCTGAGTCTCCGCCAAGGATTACCTTCGCTGTGCGTTCCAGTGTGAATAGCACAAAAGGCTTCAGGAGAATGGGCAGACCCTCGGCGTGGCATTCACAGCCGGGACCCTTCCGCGGTTGGGTCAGGGCCTGGGATGTCAGTTCTGCATTCTTCTAGAACCTTCAGATTCACTTTCGCTACCTGTCTTCTAGGTCTCCCGGACCCTAGCTAGGCCCGTTTCACTTCATTGCCTGTTCAGTGGTTAAAGAAAGGAACGTTCCTGAACGTAGGCGCCCAGCAAGGAGCGAGAGGTGTGCAAGCCTTCGAGGCGCTGAGCGGTGGCCTCGCCGCCGAGTCTGAGCTCGCAGGCCGGATACTCAGAACCCAGGAGGGCAAGCATCAACAGGCCAGAGGAACGGTTCTACTTCGATGGCTAAAAGCTGCCAGATCTTGGTGTCCAGGTCGTGAGGGATGTGAACGCTGATGGAGTAAGTTGCACCCTCCCCCATCCCTCCACCACAAGGACAAAAACTCAGACGGCTGGGATGTTCACTTTGCACTTTCAGCAGCACCCACAGTGCATGAGGAGGGGTGAGCAAGCAAATGGTTCTCACACGGTTTGTTCCCAGACCCGAAAGAAAACTGATGTCTCCTGCGCCTACGCTCCGCGTCTCCAGCTCCTGCATTCCCTTGGGAACGTTTGGGCCCGGGCGAGCGGAGGCTCGACGCGCCCAGGGACTTCGAGCAGGGGCCGGGAGGGAAGAGTTGTCTGGGTCTTGGAACCGATTGTACTGGCTCCCCCGCGTCCACCCGCGCCACCCGCTGTCAGGCTGAAAGGGCTACTCCTCCCCGCAGAGCAGTGGAGGTGAACCTCTGTGCTGCGACTGGAAGCTCAGCCCCGCGTGTCGCAGCGCTCCGTTGTCAGTTACAGCGTGTTTCTGGAAATTTCAGAGTCAAATTCGAGTTCTGCTATCTAGGTCCCTACTCAGGCCCATTTTACTTTATTGTCTGTTAGTGGCCAAAGTGCAGCACACAAAAGCTCAAACACATACCAGTTCCAAACAGGGTAAAAGTGCTCGGAAGGAAACGTTTGAAACTCGGAGTGCCCTTCTGAATACACGAATTCCTTTCTCGGCTACCCACTCTTTCCCTTCAGTCCCTCTCCTTCCTCCTCGTGTCACCTCCGATGGACGCAGAGAGTCTGTGCTGAAGCCTGAGCTCCCGGCCGGACTTCGCTGTGTTGAACCACTCTTGTTACTGTGTGTGTCCTTAGGGAAAAGACTTAATTTTTCCGTCCTTCATCGTTTGCATCTGTAGAATGCAGGTAATAATAATAATACCTTCCTACTGGGATCCCTGCCTGGGAATACATCATTACATGTTTTGTTCGTCTGCTGTTCCGTTTAGTCTCTGACCTAGGCTCTGCAGATTTTAAGAGGCTGAGGTAAGGGTGTTGCCCTACTCCCTTCTCCAGGTGGAGGAGCTAGTGGCAGATGTTGCTGCAGGGCTCCAATAGACCAGAGGGGCTGGGCATTTGGGCATGGGCCTCCGGGTGGGGGTGGACGGTCAGGTCTGTAGGGAAGGGGCCAGGTTCCGGGGATGTGGGGAGCACAGGGCTGCCTACAACACTGAGTTGAAGAAAGAAAGGTTCTAACACGGCTCCTAAGCTGTGTGGTCTGGCACTACCCTCACTCAGTCCACTGGACAGTCTCGCTGTGCCAAGCATTAGGTAGTTTCCCTGTGCGACATACCTCCCTGGCTGCTTCTGCTCACCAGCCTTAAAATGGAGAGGGCAGTGAGGAGGAGCTCTGCAAGTTATTCACAGGGGACAAACTGTCCCTCTGGGTAGCAATGCAGGCTCCTTGAATCTTTTTTGAATAAAAGGAAATATTGTTAAAAAATTACAAAGTACACCCTGGCTGGTGTAGCTCAGTGGATTGAGTGCGGGCTGCGAACCAAAGCATCACAGGTTTGATTCCCAGTGAGGGCACATGCCTGGGTTGCAGGCCATGGCCCCCAGCAACTGCACATTGATGTTTCTCTCTCTCTCTTTCTCCCTCCCTTCCCTCTCTAAACATAAATAAATAAATAAATCTAAAAAAATTTACAAAGTATTACAAAGTTATCTTGGGATAACAAAAGGGAAATGTGAAAAGCAACCTGGATCCCCAGATGATGAAATGTCAAACACAGCCCTGGCTGGCGTAGCTCAGTGGATTGAGCTCGGGCTGGGAACCAAAGTGTCCCAGGTTCGATTCCCAGCCAGGGTACATTCCTGGGTTGCAGGCCAGAACTCCCAGCAACCGCACATTAATATTTCTCTCCCTCTCTCTCTCTCT